AGCAGGAAATTGCTTTTCTTGAATTTTTACAATAATTCCAAGGAAATATAAAATATTTTCTTTGAAACCTACATGAAAACACAAGGAATATCTCCTCCTGGCTTGCACGAGATGGGCAAAATAGCTAACAGATACTACACTGAGTGCACTTTGCAATTCCCTGGTTGGGGGCTTAGGCTTCCCTCTGTGACTTACTTATCCTGTTTTGAACTGATGTGTTTCCCTGAGAAACAGTAAGACGACTAAAAACATTCATTTCATTACGGGGCCGGCTTGGTGGGGAAGTAGGAGGTGACAGACTAGCCTCTGGGGCTCCAGAATCTGAGCTACAAGAAAAAAAGAACATCTTCTTTAATAGGTTATGAATGGTTAGAGAAGTTAAATGCAACATGCCTCAAGTGTTAGATGCTCTTTTCTTAAGCAAATAAATAAAATTATAATGCTAGCTACAGATGTTTCCCAGAGAAGGTAAACTTAAGACTACAAACTGCTGCAGAGTGCAAGGTGGCACAACGTTCAAAGTTTACGTGCTAACAGTGAAAGCTCCAGGCAGAAAACACGCATATGTAAAATGAAGAAATTCTTATAAAACTGCAGTTTCTTAGAGAAATTGATGACTTCCATTTAAAAAATAAAGTGTCATTTGCAAATTATCCAAAGGATGTCTTCTCAGGGCTCTGCTCCAAAGTTATTCTGTACAGAAAAATACTCTGGGGGGAAAAAAAAAACCCCACAGAAGTTGAGCAGTGAATAATTTCACTGCCAACAATAAAAACTGCCCTAGAATTGAACAGACAGAAAAACAAATTTATTTTTCAAGAAAATATGCACAAGGTTTAAATTATTTCAGAGAAAATAAATTTTAAACAATCTTACTGTTTTTGTTCTTTTGCCTTTGTCTTTTCCATTGTTTTCTCATAGGCTTTTCTCTTTGCTAAAGGTGAAGGCTCAGGTATCTTCTTCTCTGACAGAGATGACTGTCTAGAACTGAAGGAAGAGAAATCATTATCTTACTTTAAGGCCCTTTACAAACTTGCTTTTCTTAAATTAGCTGTCATTCTCCCACTCACATTTCAAATTTCAGAACGCGCTTAATTCATTATTGTCTCTCTTGTATCTATGGACTCCAAATGTGTACTCACACTTTAATATAAAAATAAATCAAGTTTATTAACTTTCACAGTTCATCAACATATGAAGAGCCAGATACTGAATATGCAAAGGAGATCTACTAATTCAATAACAAAAGAGACTGACTAAAAGAAATAGAGCAGAGAATGCATCTCAAATTGAGACCATGGAAAAGATGGGAGCTCTGACTAAGACCTAAAATTTCAGATTCCACAGTTTTCATTGACAATAGATCACTCACAGACATGAGGAACAGAAACTGACTCTTGAATATTAATTAAACTTTGCATTAACATATTCATGTTTCAATATCAAATTCAAAATCAGGAGGTGAGAAAAAGTATTTCCCATTAACAGTCTGACTATTATAACATTGCTTCTCTTCATCCCCCTTTCCCTTAGTCCTTGCTTTCCATCCCTCCTTTGTCTCTCTAGTTCTTTCTCTGAACTAATTCCAGCTCACAGTCTACTGTGGGCTCCCAACTTTTTACTCCCCAATAAAAACAATGAAAAGATCAAGAGTGCAACATTAATGCTGACACCCAAATGTCATCATTTCACCACAGTCAGATTAAAAACAAGAAGGGAATCTGGATGGTCTCCACTCTCTGAACTCCCAGTTCTCACTAGCCGGGCAATCAGAAAAGCAACATTTGCCTTGGTTTATCCCTTTTTTTTTTTTTTCTTTCTTTTTTTTCTCTTCTGTTTAGAAGTTATTTCTACTAATATAAGGACCAGAAACACTTACTAAAAGAGAAAGCAGATTCTGAAAGTGCTTTTATGCCACACAACTTTACTAAGCAGACAAAGTTCATTTGGCAGGTCATCTGCCTGACACACTTACTAGCATCTGGTCTCGGAGGTCTACAGGCTCTGTATTTACATACCTGCAACTTCTCCACATAAGAAAAGCTGTACCGGTTTCCCTTGAGGAAACCTGTGCTATATGAAATCCATATGGGGACTGGCATGCAGAATAACATGATCTACCATGGAGAGCACAACCAAGAACAGCTACTTCACTCAAGTAGCTGAGACTAATCTCAAGTGATCACATACACACTGACCACAAGCCCTAAATGGAAGGTGAAGGTCCTGTCTGTAGAACCTAGTATCAAGAGTTGTGTGCAGACCCTAGAGTCCCCCCAAGGGTCTTCAAAAGACAGGAAGAGGAGGACAAGTGATAACCTGTCTGGTTTTGCACGAAAGCCTATCAGTTAAAGTACACAAAAAGGGGAAGGTGGGTTCAATTCTCTCCTCAACAGAGAGGGTAACAGAGCACTGGAACAGGCTGCCCAGGAGTTGTGGAGTCTCCTTCTCTGGAGACATTCAAAACCCGCCTGGACGCCTTCCTGTGTGATCTCATCTAGGTTCCTGCTCCAGCAGGGGGATTGGACTAGATGATCTTTCGAGGTCCCTTCCAATCCCCAACATTCTGTGATTCAAGGCCAGACCACTCATTTCTCTGCAGGGCTCCCTTACTCTATGCACAATCTGCAAAGGACAAACAGGGGTGGAACAGGACATACTCCCTCCTTCTCTTTATGTTGGACCAGTACGCATTTAGGAATGTGAAAGTCCTGGGGTCACAAAGCAAATCCTATGATCAGCCTGATAGCTAGATCTTTCAGCAAGGATGATGAACTTGGGTTACAGTCTCCACTGCCATGGTTGCCTATGTGTCTACTGTGCAGCTACTAGATTAAATAAACCACATCAGAAACTGGAACCCAAGCTCCTCTGCCTCACACCAACATCCTGCATAGTCAGACATGGAGCCAGCTCCCTCTTGCTCACTATCTGACCCTTGAATCTTCCAGCTTTGACTCCACAGTGGCACATCCTCAGAAGAAGGTGTAAAGAGCATGACCACATTATTAATTCTTTTTGAAAGCCTGGAAATGCAGGTACTATAAAAATTCTCACTGGAATGAACTTCCTAAGCCTAGATGTAAAAAAATAGGTGCACGATGTCAATGACCTGAACAAAAAGGAACAAGACACGCACCTAATTACAGGTTTCCAGTGCCCTTTTAGATTTGATTTCCCAGGATATTAGACATGTGAACAGAGCTGGCACAAGACCTACAGGAGACCACTCTACTCTAAAGGGGCTGCTGTAGATGAGTTGAGCATATCAAAGGACAACGGCAATAGTTATCTTTGTAAACAGAATTCCAACTAAACTGTTGCCCATGTGCATTTAGGTGCCTATCTGAATCACCACAGATCTGAGGAAACTGAGGAGTTTCCAGAATGGAGCAGTTTACACATATGCGGACACCTAAATTTGCACCTAAGCGTGTAATTAATTTCAGTCACTTCCAGAGAATGCATATTTTGGATCACTGTTACTGCTTCTACATCCCTGAATGCCACTTAAATGGCACTTAAGACCACACGCTGCCCCAGAAGAATATATTCTATTACAAGCGATATGATGGCACTACAGGCCCATACAGGAAGGCCAGATGGCTCACAGACAACCTTTCTTCAACAATGACTAGTGACCAGCAAAAATAGCAATACTGTATAAAGTATACTGAGTCTCAGTTTTGAAAAGGCATCTTAATTACAGTAAGGAAATAATTGCAGACTGATTGTGGGAACTTTTGATCATTTAACTGCTAAAACATGATCAATAGCAAACCAAAATATTCGTGAGGCCTAATGCCAATGGAATTGATTTACTGACAGTACGTAACTCTCTAATGCTCACAGAACAGTTTTTGGAATATCCTGTTTTGCCTCATTGTTGTTTCACTTTCACAAACGGATACATTCTAGAAGATGGAGCGAGGCAAAAGTTGGTATTACCTGAGTCTTGGATGCCAGGTCATAACACTTGACGTTTTAAATCTTGAAGCTTTAAAAGTCTCTAGTGATCTCACACTAACTGCTGAAACAAGTGGGTTTCTCCACCTATCCTCACCCCAAGAGTATTCTTTCCAAGCAGATTCTACTTGTAAAATGCACTGAAGCCATCAGCATGGGTTAATAATTGCTGCCAGCAGTGTTTTACTGTTCACGATTTCCACCTCAAGCACATGCCGGAAATATATGGTAAAAATAATACAAATTGCAAATGTACATTAGATGGAGACTGTTGTAAAAATATTATGCAAACAGGAGAGAGGGATAGTGAAAGATGCATAATTCCAGAATCTGTAATGCAAAGATAGCTACGGGATACAGTTTTTTCCATATCGCTGAATGTGGCAAGCGCATTCGGTTTATGCGTGAGTTTGAGCAATACAGGAGCTAGTACCTAAAAAGTCAATAAAATGGTCTCTAGCAGCAAATGGCTAATAAACAACAGTGATATTGCTAGATATAAAAAGAGCAGCAAGAGCAAGAGAAAAAAAGAGAGTGCCTGTGAGAGAGACCTGCTGGCCCCAAAGTAAAAAGACAAAAATAATATTTTTAGTTCTCTTTGTCATCAAGTAATACTTTCAATTAGTAAAACTGTTCTGCAGTTAAGTGCAACCCTGCAAATAGAAAGGATTTTTGAGAATTCTTAATATCCAACATGTTTCTTTCAACTTTACAATTCTATGCTCTATTATTGTATAGACTATTTAATTTTAAGCATGGTCCACATGAGATGACTTAGATAAAGATTTTACCTAATAGTTAGGACCATATGTTGGTCTCTTCTCCCGGGTAACGGGTGACAGAACGAAAGGAAATGGCTACAAGTTGCACCAGGGGACGTTTAGATTGGATATTAGGAAAAATTTCTTCACAGAAAGGGTAGTCAAATATTGGAGCAGGCTGCCCAGGGAAGTGGTGGAGTCACCATCCCTGGCAGTATTTAAAAGATGGGTAGATGAGGCGCTCAGGGACATGGTTTAGAGATGGGATCGGTAGTGATAGGTTAATGGTTGGACTCGATGATCTTAAAGGTCTTTTACAACCACTATGATTCTATGATTCTATACACCAGATAGTATTAAGACAACACATAAAGTTTTTGTGTTGGGTTTTGGGGTGGTTTTTCATTTCTCTCTCTGCTGTTCTAAGCAGATTCTCACTACCTCCCTAGAACGTGCATTTCCCACAGCACTACCAAAGCAAAGCATTCAAGGTACTATCTAGATGCATTTTTCCCACTACTTAGAAACAAGGCTACAGTAATTTTACTATGACAAAGCAACTTACCAGAACTTATATCTTCAGTAAGAACCATGTTACTTACAACCATGCATTTATACTTTCTAGAGTGTAATGGTAGAAAAGAAGCAGGAGCTTTGTCAGTATTATTAGGATATTTCAAGTATACCAACCTCCTTTGTAAAGTTAAAATAATTAAATAAATACTTAAAAAATAAATTGGCAACAGAATCACAGAACCATAGGGGTTGGAAGG